AAGGACTGTGATTTTGCTTTTTTTTTTTTTGTGTTTCTGTAAATTTTTTTTTTACAGAATCTGCCCTTCTTTTTTTTTGTCATTTTTTTTTTTTGCTTCCTTCATGGTCTGGTTTGTAAGCTCTATTTATAGAGCTTGTTAGGATTCAAATCTCAGATTTTCTGAAATTCGAATCTCATTTTTCAACTGAAAAATCACACCAACCATCCGTGATTGGTGGCTTGTCGGTCGTTGGTAGCTAGCGACGATGCTTTTGACTTTAGGGATTGTGCATTTAATGCACTAGATTTGAACCAGATAAGGATGAAAAAAAGGAAAAAGAAAGGAAGAAGAAGACAAACGCAGAAACGGGAAGAAAAGAAAGAGAAGAAGAAAAAGAAAGAAAAAAAATATTAAATAATAATAATAATAATAATAATAATAATAATAATAATTAAAAAATTGTGTTTACAACTTGTATGAAGGAAACTAATATTAAAGCAAATTTGAACCAAAGAATTTTGAGTATAGGAGTCATTTAACAATAAATCATACATACTACTGACAATAATACTAATATTTGTCAATTATTCACATATATTAATTATTATAATACTAATGTTTGCCAATTATGTGAGGAAAGTGTATTAATATGTATAAGGTAGTAAGGGGAATGGATATGGAAAATGCAATATATCTTATTTGAAACTAGTGTCTTGACAACTTTATTCATGAAATCTGGACCACATATAACTAAAGCGATTTTCCAGACAAATTCATTCTGACAAATGACATAGAAATCAGGCTCTCTTAGTCATCATCAGAAGCAATAAATTAGAATGTAAAATAAATGAAAATTTTAATGTAAAGTCATCATAAAAAAAAAAATTAGAATGTAAAATAGAAGGAATAATTTAGTCTTTAGCATTTGTTTATAGACAATAGAAGAAAAGGACCTTTCTATGGTCAAACAAGATGTTTTCACAAACGAAAAGTAATCTATGGTCTATGGCCTAATAACGCAGAAAATCAAAGAAGAAATCATACATCAATTAAAGGTATTTACCCAATACATAATTTAAGTGCACATGCTGAGATGGACACTGTTGAAAATAGCTTTTTGTTAAATGTCATGTCTTCACTCACACACACACACACACAAAAATATATAACAAAATATATACCCTTTTAAATTAAATAGTGGTGTAGGCAGTTGGTGTTTAATCATTATAATGCCGCCACTTTGGTCACTTAAAAGTAAAAAAGCAATCCATCCTTTCATGATGTTTTAGAGTTATCTCAAACATACAAACTCTAGTCAAAATAGCACTTTTTGACTACAAAGTATGTATATTTTTTTATTGAAAAGTATGTATATTATTTGACCATCCTCATGTTGACTAATCAAACTCAAACTATAATATCCTACCTATAAAAACCAAAAATTCTGAGGAAGTCTGACATCCTATAAACCTAAGAAATATGTTTAGTTATATTCAACTATTCATCAAAATCAAATAACCAACAAATTATAAAAAAAATCTTTATATTGAAAGAGAAATATGAAACTTACTGGTAAAGGAAGATGGCTTTAAAAAAATTGTAGGATGATTATGATACGGCTAAGTTTTTAGTGTTAATAAAAATATGGATATAATAGTCTTTTCATAAAAAAATTTTTCAACTTTCCTTTTCGTAGCTTTTCTCCTAAATTAAGGTATTAAAAAAGTTGGGTTTACAAGGGAAATCAAAGATTATTGGGTTTCTACCTCTTTTCCTTTCTTTAAATTAAAAGTTTATCCAAACAAAGGGATGGTTTTTTTGTTTCCTTTACTTTCTTTTATTTTCCTTTATTTTTCTTCCCCTTTCGTCAATCAAACACACTATTAAGGTCAGTAAAAACAATTCAATTTGAAAGTAAAAAGAAAACAATGTGAAAAATGAAAGCCCTTTATATAGCCAATGATCATATTAGATAAACAGTCCAGATTGTGCCATGTGTCCAGATGGTTACCGAAGATGAGCCTCCGCCTTTCCAGCTTTGGATTTTATGATTTTCAAATAATATGAAGTTAAATCAATCATTCCACCTGTCCAAATTGGTTAGATCAATCACAAAACCTAAGCTGTATCGACCAAACAAACCAACCAATAGGTCAACCATATGTTAGACCTAGAAATCAAACCCCAACACCAAAAAAAGACACAAGTCTCACATTGGACACATGAGCCATGTTGATAGTTACCCATAAACCTACTTAGCCCAACCTTGGGCCTCTTCAACATAAGCTCACTCACCTCGGCAACCCCAAAATGGATCGGTTACACGTATAACACGAAACCCATGCTCAAGATCAAGCTTGATACCCACACTTACACATCAGGTCGATGTATTCCAAAGTGGCCAAAGTTACACTTAATAACATACAATCAATCATAAGCATCTCTTACCTCACCCTCACATCAACCTCACGAACATTACATCGACAACGTAAGGTCGGGTCCAAGGCATAAATTTCCAAAAACCTATGCTCAAGAAACTCAAGGTCAAACCAGCAAATGCATACATCCGAAGGGCTCAATCAGGCACCTATCAGTCTGATACTCAGACTGCTCGATGAAAGACAAAATGTTGAGGGTTATTTTGGGTCTAAAGGATAAATTGATCATTTCTTTGATCAAAGACTGTTAGCAGACAACTATGGCACTTTTAACTTTTGGGCTAATCTAACATATACAATGTTATGTTAGCTCAGTTACATCATTATCCTATCCCACAAACCCCTCACTTTTCGCCTATAAATAAAGCCATCCAAGTATTACCAATCAAATCTAACTTTTTTTTTACTTTGCTATTGTCCTCTTTTATTGACCTCCTTTGTCCCAAACTCTAATTTGAGCATCAAAATGCAAAAGTAAAGAACACCTTCTACTTTTACTCTTAACTGCTCTTTTTCATTTCTTATGATTTCAAGATCTTAACCCTCAGTTCAGAGCTCGACACCAACATTTACCAAGATCGGAGGTGTGGTTTTGGTACCTTCATTTTTCGAAGTGAAACAATCAATTGAAATTGAATTAAGGGGCACTAAATTAAAAAGCAAACAAAATATTTCAATTTGAAAATGATTATCGAGCTTATTAGTCTTGTTGAAAACTGTAAATGTATTGCTTAAATCATAAAAAAATATAAAAATAAAAAAAGAATAAATTACGGATAACAAATTAATAAAATTTGAATTTGAATAAGATAAATGAAGGAAAAAAAAGTCCATTGATATGGAAACTTTTTTACCTAAATAGGATTGCAGACACTTGATATTGAAATTATAATAAAGTAAATGTTGATGCTTGAATATTTTGAGTGTTTAATATGAGAAACTAAAGTTTTTTTTTTAAAAAAAAAATGCTCTCATAGAGTTTTAACAAAACTAAAATTAATTTGAGAAGGATAGAAAACTGCTTGAGATGTTGAAGTTAAATTTCCCTAGAGTTGAGTGTGTTTATTGGCTATGATTGTGTTGTTACTACAGGTGGCTTCCTAAGAATTTTGCAACTTCCTTCATTACCTATAGCCCACCAACGGCGAGTGAAGGTAATTCGCATAAAATCAGCATTCTAATCCTCTTTAATTTTTTGCCAAATATTAAGAGCTCAACTACCAAATTTTTTTAGAACATAGGATGAGCATAATTTATGAAAAATAAGAAAAGATTTTGATTCGAAATCAAAATTTTTATTTTTTTAAGACTTTTTTTATCACTAGATAAAAAGTTGAAGATTTGGATTAAATCTCTTCCTTTAACCAGTTATGGCACGTGTTTAGTTGCTATTAGCTCAATGGACCATTTTTCTCCTTGGACTAAATCCGACCCATGTCGTCCACTAATTAGTGCCAAAGTTATCGACTTATGCCAACAAAATTAGTCTCATCAATTAACAAAATATCAATTGATTAATTTAATCTAAATTGACCATATATATTTAATTAATTGATTAATCAAATGTCATGTCATTTTTATGTCAAATCACGTGATTCTTATTACACGTTTTTTGTTTTTGTCGACGAATAAATTTATAAAATCAATAATTAGAATGTAATTTTTGTTTTTTTTTTAGTGTTACAGTCAAACCGATAAATTTAATATATCTCCTTTAGGATTGGTAATTTTATTGTTATTACTAAAGATTTTGTATTTTTACAATTCAAAGTTTTTCTAATGCTTAAATTACACAAGTATTTTTTATTTAAGTTTTCTTTTAGTAATGTTCTTTTATACATTTTTGTTCAATTTTTTTTTCAACATATTCTTTCTAAGCATTTTATTTTACCATGATGATTATTACAATAATGTCAAGTACTAAAATTTTTTTTGGGTGCTTAAAGAGTGCTATAAATATGAATTTATGAAGATAAAAAAACCAACCAGATAATTTAAGATTTAAATACTTCAATCCAATGCCTCTTGCCCAACAAGCAACAACTACCCTCCATGGATAATGTGTATAAACCTCAAAATACACTAGTTGTATTTTGGTAGAAACAAAATTAGCAAAATGACAAGCCGTTAATTGGAATGGAATTCTATCCCATCCATGATTCAATGTAGGAACTGCACTTTAAACATCAAGGAATATTTAGTGATGACATGTTCTAGATGCGTATCTGGCTCAGGATAAGATGAATGTTACATTCCGATGAATATAAAAGGACCTAAGGAGGAAGTTAAAGAGGAAGGTTTGTAAATAAATCATGATCTAGTAAAGACATTGGAAGCAGAAATGTATGACTGTTGGCATAGAATTTGAATATTTTACTCGAATTTAGAAATGAGCATCAAGGATATATATGACACGAGCATTTCGAAGTGCGTGTCGTACACGGTATTTCAATTTTCATTCAATTTTTTTAGTTTTTCTTTTATATATTTGAAAAATCGATTTTAGTGGTGGAGTACGGCGCAATAGCAAAGTTGAGAACGGCACTTACTGCTTCCAGCAAATTCTTATCCGAACAAAGCAACATTTTGGAACCGTCCTGCAAATCCACTTTCTTCTTCGATTTTTTTTTTTCTTTTTTCGTTGGGGTTGTAACTTTAAACTACATAGAGTGATAATATCCAACTCACATTTTCTCTGAAGTCATAATCCAGAGAGATCCAAACTAGACAACACGAAAAGACTCAGCTATCCTCTTTAAATCCTTGTAATGCCTTTTCCATTGAAGACCTGCGAAAGTCAGGAAAAAATACTGAATTATTTCATCTTTAACTATGATTAAACAATATTATTCATGATGAGTAAGACAGAAGCACTTACCACTTCCTGTTACACTGAATAGGTAAAGGCGATTACCGGCTGCAGTTGCAGTGATCAGTGCATGAGGTGGCTCCAATTCATACTGGTAATACATTCTGCCATCGTGTTCTGCCGTGTTAATGCTTAAAACCTTGCCTTCTACATTTTCGCCAATCACCTCTGGTCCAAATGCATTAATCACTTTTTCTGGAGGTCCGATCTTTTCAATCGTGGCATTTTGACCGAGATCTAAACATCACGGATAAACACAATTAATTCTATTTTTTAAGCAGGCATCAGCTGTTTTAAAATCATTCAAGCAACCGAGGACATCATCCAAATCCGATAGTAGAAACTGTTAAAGGACAGAGCCACTAAAATATTTGGGAAATCTTACTATCAGCAAATCTCAGAACTGGTGCAACAATGACAAACAACCGTCCTTCTTTAGAGCTAGCAAACCTCAAGTCAATCTCTGTACCGCCTAAATCTGCAATTGATACAGGAACCTGTTGCAGGGATATATATAGAATAAGGGAACTAATGAAGCCCCCAATAACAAGGGAAAATTAAAATGTAAACAAAAGAAGAGCTTAAAGTTAGGACATTCTAATAGAATGAATTACTACCTCTTCCCAATCTTGAGGCACTGAAAAGGCATAAGGGATGATAGGACTCCATCCAACACCATGCCCTCCAGACTTGTCATCTGGTCTGCGGTATGTCCTCCAACCTGTCTGAGCACATTGTTGCTGGTGAAGATAGATTCACTACAAGAGAAATAGAGAATGCAGCTTGCCCTGGTTTTACCAGGCTAGTTCTTAAGAGCAATGTATTCATTCTTTTTTCCTCAATGTAAGCTAGGACCGCAGAGCTTATTGCACAAATTTAAATGAGTGGATGTTCTCTTAGTTTCTATTTACAGCAGTAGCTTGACAAAAAAATGATCTTAATTTTCTGTTACTCTTAGTTTAATTTTCCATCTAAAAGAATTCCAACATCAATGTAAATATGAGAAGGTAGCATCGAAGGGGAACCCAAGTTTTAAGTTCTTTCATCAAGAAACTGAAAACCTACTGATAGATGACAAGATATTAAAGGATTTTTAAATCATCAACCTCACCAATATTTGCAAGAAACCGTACTTTTCCTTTAATTGCATCACAACTGTAGACGCAGGGACTTGTTATGATATCATGTCATCATATATGTTTCAAAAGAACACTAACCAGCAAGTCAAACTGTTAAACCAACCTTGTTCATCGGGCTCAGACAAGCCAGGTATCCTCCCTGCTAGAAGACCTTGTTTGACGACTGCCAATCCGTCTCCTGGAAATCCTAACACAGCCGATGACGCTAGAGATATCCCAGAAACCAAAATTGATCGTCTACTCAAAATACCCCAGGACTCCTCTTTCTCCCTATCGACCAACCAATTTCCTCGTGAACCTGGAACAGCTTTTGCTCTTGAAATCCCATTTTCTGGTGAAGAATGAGCAAAACTGCTTGAAGTAGCTACTTGCTGATGACATTTCCATGGAAACCTACTGCAGCCACTGAACAATGTTGTACCCATTTTCTCCAGACCTAAAAATTGGCAAGGAAAGGAGGAATATTAATACGGGCTGCCTTCCAAAGGATTCTAGAGCAGAACTTCACCCAGCAAACAAAATGGTTGTTCTGTAATCTCTTATTCTAGAATTCAATAACAAGACTAGTTGAATAAAAAGGCGAGTTTTCCTTGGCTGAAGAAGAGTGTCGGAGTAGCCAACTTGATCGATTTTTTTTTTTTTGTGTGGACATGGTGTTACAGTTATGCAAATTTCAGATTCTTTCCGATAGAATATCATCATTTTCAGCCAGACACGTGGAATATCTGAATTACTTTATATCCCCATCGCCCCTATAAATTATCCTAGCCCACAAATTTTCTTACTTTATCTTCGGCCCTATAACTTATCTTCGTTTTTCATCATTGACAATATCTGTAATATTATAAGCTGCAAAATAATGTCATGCCATTTTTACAACATCAAAATTATATAGTACTTTTGAAGTAGACAAACAATAAGGTGAAAAGATGGGCCCTACAACTTGAAATAATTAGGGAATACTAACAGTCATTCAGAAATTTGACAGCGAGTGTGACAATTGAAGAAAAGGAGCACCGTGCAACGGAAATGAAGGCACACTTTTGCGGTTCCCAGAACTGTTTCAAGGCAGAGGCATAGGAGGTTTCCAGTTTGCAAATTCAACAAGATTTCTATTCACAATGGATCCATTATGCAGCCAAAATGTCTCAGCTGACTGGTGAAATTGCCTCACTTTCCTCTGAAGCTCCCACATTACTGCTTGCATTGCAGAACATGACTCTGAGTCTGGAGCATAAACCCATAAGCACCTTACTTGCCTACCTCGGGTTATCATCTCCTCTATGACCTCAACTGAAAAGAGAACCCAAAGTTCCGTAATTTGATGCAGCTTAAGAGCAAAATAAGTGGTGCAAGAAGTAAAGAATACCCAATCTGACCAGGTATTGAAGCCAGGTACTCCAGAAGCTCAGGTCCTATTAAAGTGGATGGCCATTTGATCGATATCTGTGTGTAATCAATTACATTCTGAAAAGGTAATTCTACTTGATCTGATAAGATGACTGGAACACATTCCTGTTCATGAAAAAAGAAAACTAATTAAGGCATTTTAATTGGCCTCAAAATGCAAGTGCACATGTGTTTGTGAATGTGGAGAGAGAGGTACCACAAAAAATGACTCATAAAAGCGAAGGGTCCAAGATGACTCTCCACGTGGTGCGAGGCAGAATTTGGCATTGCCCAGGTGCTGAAAATATTCCACTCTTCCCAATTTGTTAGGACCACTGAACTGTAACTCTGGACATTCCAACTGTTTACAGTATCAATATACATTTTTTTCCCCACAAGATATATGAGCAAATTCTAGTGAAAATTCCTCATAATTCAGTATGTGAAAGAAAGCATGCTAATAAAGTTATGAGATTTCATGTTTCACATCAGTCAACCAGATATAACTCCAGATGCAGAAAGTGTTAAGAAGCTTCTTAGTGACCTTAGCCTCACACACACACACACACGCAAAAGCCTCAGTAAGGATGGGCAAAAGTATTCTACCTACATAGTCAATATAGGTAATATATAACATTATGAGGAATATTAAAACCATAGAATTTCTTGATTCTAGAACAAGATGCTTATTAGACCAGTAAAGTACATTAGACCTAATAAGATTATTCTCTGGCATCCAGATTGATCCATTTGAAGAACAAAATATGGCCAAGCTAAAAAGCACAGCTGCTAGTTATATCACATTAAAAGTAGTAATAGTACTTAAAGATTGCATGCTGTAGTTGCATTGAAACATATAATTATTGAGTAGTCAGGCAAAAATAGAACTTGGAAAATAAATTGGTTAATTAATTAAAAAGTGAGACTTCTCACGACTATAAATTCAATGCTAAGGTTCCACATTGTTACTTTGTGGTTCTATATGAGGACAAGACTAAATCATCAGTACTTGATCCAAAGGATGATACAGTTTCAGATTAAAAGCAGTTAAATTGTCATAGAAGAAAACATACCTTATCTCCATATTGCTTAGCAAGCTCAATCAACTTAAGACGATCAACTTTTTTCTGAGCCCGGCCTAAATAGTTTGCCAAATACTTTCTCTTTGATAGAGGCACAGGTTGGAAAATAGTAGCCACTGCTTTTGTCATTCCATCATCAACATTTCCAGGAATGATGATATCTTTCCATGTATTAAAGGCACTTGTGTCTTTCTTATCAGTACGGTCTCCCTGCACAATACACAAATCAGCATTCTTTTGTTTGGAAGCCAACATACATACAAGAGAACTTCAACTCCCAAAGTTTTGCTCGCAAAGAAAGATTGAAATGTGATGAGAGAAAATTAGAAAGAACTTAAACAAAGACAAAATGACTTTTAACATTATACCATTTATAAGATAGAAAAAAAAAATTACAGACAATTTGGTAAAATATATAATCTTTTACTCAAACCCCCCTTCCATCCCTTCAATAATCTTTCCAATTTGGAAAGGAAAAGAAAAGAATGGACTTCTGCATGCCTAAAGAAAAATATCCATGGCTACTATAGCCTTTCCTCTTACTTTTTTCTCCTAATATGAGTAACAATTATTTTTTTTTGTCTTTTCCAATAATTCCTTTCCATCTTTCCACTTTTATCTCTTACAAAGCATATCTAAATAATTGTTCTAAAACATTTATCATTCAATTCCACATCTCCTACAAGATTTAGAAACAATTAAACTAATAGTTCTTTTGTCCTCCACATATATCAAATAAAAAAATAGCAGCCTTTCCTAATCTTCAGGTTGAAAATCTGACCTCAACTGGCATTTTAAGAATGGACGAAAATAATTCCGTTCCCAAGAAAATGACCACTTTCTCCCAAGCATGTAATTTAACACCTATTTTCAAACTAGAAGTCCTCAGTCCTAAGCCTTTCCTAATTTTCTGGTTGACATGTAATTCCACTCAAAGAATCCGGGAACCCAATCTCTGCTTTCCCCGTTCAGTAAAGAGCTCAAATAAAATCATCTAGCCAGTCAACCATGGTTCGATTCAATAAAATCAAAGCTGCAAGGTGCACCATACCTTCATATTGCCTAAGGGGGAAGACATATAAAACCTAGAGGTAAAACCTGACAATAAATAGTGTCTTCAGAGAAGAAATAATAACTAATATCATAGGAGCTAAAACCATAATGAAAACAAATTATGATAATTTTAAGTAAGCTGGTTATACAACACTAGAATCAGTCAGATTCTTTGCATTTGCTCAGCTTCTTTAATTGGGACCATATTAATGATCATCACACTGTATGACGATAATGTAAGACGGCCATATACTCAACCAATATTACGGTACTCAGGCACAAGGGGAAAAAGTAGTTGGAGGCATATCAATGGATGCCAAAGTGAACCATTTCCCAATATATACCAATAACTCCATAGCAAAATTAAATGCATAAACTAAACAAAATCATAAGATTTATTTGATAGTAAAGACCAGTACCTCAGGAGAAAGAATTATAGAACGATTTATATAGGTTGCCCAAGATCTGAATAAGTGAGCTCCAGCACCACTGCAATCACATAAAAAGCGGACAACCTTTGCATCAAAGTTAATCGAATTCAAACCTTACAAAGCAAGCCAAACTGTTTTTTCTATCCTAACAGTCTAACAGTTTTACCTTGGGAAAACAAATACGTGGTCACGCCCTCCGGACCGCCTAAAATACGGCATTTGGCTCAAAACCTAAAACAAAGCAACAGTTATTTTGTTATTAAAAAATATTATAGTATACATTTTTTTTTTCAACAATAAAACGGAAGTTTTTACCTTGACATAAGTTTGATTGATTTCTTTGTCATTAAGGCCACCCAACATCCGAACACATTTAACATAAGCTGGAACAAAGAATAAATCAGCTTCCTCTTTGTTTCTTGTCCGAAGTCGAGATTCCAGTAACAGCCTGTGAATTTTAACCTAAAATTTTTTTTACTGACAATTAACTTTTAATTTTAGCAAAATTATTCCAAAAATAAAAAAAAAAGATCATTAAATTAAATTTAACCTAATAAGAAGTTACCTGAGAACCCCACTGGCCTTTGAGACAAGCATTGGTGGAAATGGTGCCGTCTCTTCCGTACAAAAGGTCTTTTAAGCCGTCGATCTCGTTCTCGTTGTAGACGTAGATCCGCAGAGAGAGGTGGGACCCGTAGCCTCGTTCGGGCCATAATAGATGTCCGGCGCCGTTGGTTATGGCGAAGTGAAGGTTGACATTTTGAGATGAACGGTCGTGGTTGAGGCTGCAGGGAGACGGAGGGAAGGATTGGTCGAAGAGTCGAGTGAAGAAGAAAGTGGCAGTTACGAGGATAAGAGCGCCGATCCGGTGAGTGCGAGTGCAGGGAGTGTTGTGGGAATGCGCTGAGAAGTTTCGAGGCTTGTTGCTCATTCCTTTCCTTTCCTTTCCGCAATCTGCTCTTTAGATTTTCTTTTTTTGTTTTCTTTTCAGAAACACCGAACGCCAGACTCAACTGTCGAGTGGAGCAGGATTTTGCTGAGTTGAAGCTTAAGAGTGAACGATGATAGTTTCAAAAACGTCGACGGTTTCTCGAGCCTTTGTTGAAATTAAAAATAATAATTATGCACTTTGCTTAAGTTTGAATAAATATTAATAAAAAAAATGAGATATATGTATTTTTTTTTTTTGATAATTAAAATTAATGAATGAAAAAAAAAAGAATTTTATTAATCATTATTTGGATAAAAAGTAAAAAAAAAAATGATTCATTATAATAATTTTTTTCAATTATAATTTTTCATTACCTATGATTTTATAATACTCTTGGATCATGACATGTTTATTATTTTATCTGATCTCATAATTATTGTTATATCAATAATTTTTAATCAAGTAAAATAATAAAATATTTTACAAATATGCATTGATAAATGATTGTGAGCTAATCCGACATCTTATAAATCTAAAAAAATATATCTATTCATATTTAATTATTTATCAAAATTAAATCATCAAAAAATTATAAAAATTTTATATAAAAAGAAATATGTGAAATTTACGTGAAAAAAGAAATAGCTTTGAAAAAATTACATGATGATTATGATGTGGTTAGATTTTTTAAATTAAATTTTTAATATTAATAAAAATATAGATATAGTAATTTTTTATAAAAATAAAAAAAT